AGCTTGCTTTTTCCTCACACTGGGTGCTATAGGCCTGCATCATCCAGGGAAAGTGGTTTCTATTGCCCAGCAGAAACTGAATGAAGTGTTGCTGATAGGCCTTGTGCACAAGCTGGCAAGGGCTGGAGGGGTGGCCACTGGGCCCCAGGCCCCAACACACCTCACACTGGTGCTACAAGGAGGCTGAGACTCATTCAGCCAATGCAGATTGCCTCCATTGTGTGCAGGGGCTAGGTGACATGTGAGCAGGAACCCCTCCCCACGCCCCCCACCTCTGGAGCTCACAACCTGGATGGGGTCAGTGGGGCCATGTTGAAGGATGACTATGAGTGATAGGCTGGACAAAGGGGAAGCAAAGATGACATCTCACAGAAGAACCTGGGAGGTCAAGGCACTGATGAAACTGAGCAGGAGGCACTCGAGGGAAGGGAAGAGCCAGAAAGGTCTCATGTGAAGATGCTGGGGGTAGTTCAGGAACTGGGCAACAGGAAGAGGCAATGTTGCTGGTGTACGGCAGCCTAGCAAGGTGGGCTAGACAGGCATGGGGGGAAAGAGACTGCATGGGACCCGGAGGCAGATGCCACCACAGAGCAGTACTGTCATCCTGTGACTACTCAAACAGAGATAAGACAAACCCACTGGGACCAACTCACCCCTCAGAGACAACCAACTAGCTGACTTTGTTTCATTAGAAAGATATTTCCATGTCATTAGCCTTCAGAACCGATATTTTTATCATGCATCTGACTCCATGAATCCCCCAAGCCTCACAGGACACAGAAGAAGAATAAACCCTATTCCAAGAAAAATCTCAACCCGTTCTTAGACTCCCCCAGTTTTTCATGCCTGACTTGTGAATAAAATTTCCTTCCATTAAAATGGACCCATAAGGCAACCCTAAATCTGATGGCCGTGTGACTCTTGAGTGTGTATTTCTGCTCTGTAACAACACTCCACCCCAGTTCCTGACTGAGAACTGAGTCCTTCTGATGATAAGAAGAACTTAGAAACTCAGTCTGCTGTCTCTGTACCTGAGACCTCTCCAGCCTTCACTGCCACTGACAAAGGAAGCCAGCAAGATAGCCAGAGCCAAGCTAAGAAGAACACTGCATGCCATTCTGCAGGGATGAGGAGTCTGTTGAGAGTCAAAGGCTGGGAGACAAAACTAAGAGGCTTTCCTTCTAGAAAATTCTCAGCCCTGAGTGCCCCCCCCCCAAAGGCACTTAGTGCACAGTGTGGAAGGCTCCTAACCCTCGCACATCTCCCAGGACTGGAGCAGCAGGACCTGTACATACGGGTGCATCTTCATTTTGTAGATGGGGACACTGAGGATCTAAGAGGAAGAGTGGCTTAGCCAATGTCACTCAACAAACCAGAGGCAGAATTCGGTCTGCTCTCCAGGCCTCCAGGCCACACATGTCCTTGTACCCTGTCCTGCATCACTGTCTCACAAGTTTGTGGACCAGCTTTTCAACCCTGGCTGGACTGCCAGACTCTCCGCATGTCCTTAAGAGATGGAGGAATCCGGGCACCTCGTGGGAATGCTTGTCCTCCATCTGCTTCTTCTTTTACCCTTTCCTGGCATGAACCTGGGCCATGCTGAGCCTGCCTCCCCGCCTGGGCAACCTTGCAGCCCTGCTCAAGAAGATCAAGGAAGGCTATGGCCACAAGCACCGATTCTATCAGGGACTGCCTGGACTTCTCTATCCCCATTCTCCCTCTCCTCTTGGGTGTGGAATTCCCTAGGCTTGCTCAACTGGTCCCAAATGACAGATGTCTTATCAGTGAAGGTGACTCTAAGGCAAGGCCTATCCCCTGCCGAGGATGACTAAATCCACCTGCTGAGGCCTCTAGGAGGAAGATGCTGCAAAGGGTTCTGGGGAGCAGACCCATGGTTGTCATTGGATCTAAGACCTCCGGGGAGGGTTATGAGCAGGGTCAGCATTTGCATCTTGTCCACATTTTGCTTCCCCCTTCCCCAGAACTCCAGAGAGAACCTTCAGCGTCCCAGAGCCTGGCCTGAGTCTGTGCTCCCAGGGAGTGGCAGCTCAGGATTAGGAGTGAACAGATGCCATGCAGGGGGATCCCCAGCTGCAGTGATACAGCTTTTGGTGCTGTATCAGCTGGGGCTTTGGGCTGTAAGGTCATCCACTTTGGAGCACAAGGTAGGACTGCTCCCTTGAAGGCAATAGATGTCTCCGTTGTTGACAGTCTTGGAAAGGGTCTGAAATGTGACAACCATCAGGATGGGATGGGAGAGAAATGTCCCCCTCATCATACAATGTGAGGAGTTGTCCTGAGCCTTCAGTGGGCCCAGGTGCTGAGCTACTCTAGGACTTGTGGGAGCCGCCTGGGACCCTCAGCTCCACTTTGTGGCCAGAGTAGTTGCTACAAGGCGGCAAAGACAATGACCATCGAGATTTAGATAGTGCCCGAGCACCGCAGATACAGGGAGCATGTCTGAGAAGTTACCCCACTTCTGAGAGAAGCCAACAACCAGGAGGACCCTGGCCTTCAGGCAGGCACTCTCACTTCCCTCCCCCACTGGTGAGAGACATCCAGCAGCTGTGATACCTTTGCACAGAGTCAAGGCCCTGGGAACCCCCAGAAATGATGGAAGACAGTATGACAAAGTGATGTCCAGTAGACCTGGGTCATAGCAGTTGGAATAGAAAAGAAGTCTACACCCTGCCCTCTGGATCAAGATTTTCTACATCTGGGAACCAAACTGAGCAAAATAAAAAATATTCAGGGAAAAAAAAAAAGGATCTGTAATGAACATATGTGGATTTTTTTCTCTTGTGATTGGTTACTAAACCATACGGTTCAACAACCATATAATAGCAACGGTTATGTTGTATCTTATAGTATGAATATTCTGGAGTTAAAGGCTACAGCAAAAGTGTAGAGTTTATATAGGAATATTCCACCCTTTTATCGATGGTACTTAAGCAGCCATAGAACTGTATAATTTAAAGGGTTTGAACCAACCCCCAGGGATATTAAGGGGCCAATGTCATATTTTACATTAAGTTCAGGAACAAACCAAATACATATGACCTCTCTCTCCATCACTATATCTTTCCTGGGAGAAAGATATCACCATGGCTCACTTCACAGAGGAAACAACATACTTTCAGGGATGTTGTCAGTGGTTTCTAGGTTTTATTTTGTCTCATGTAGCCCAGGTTGGCCTTAGACTTGCTATGTAGCTGAGGATGACCATGAGCTCCTGATCCTTCTGCCTTTGCCTCCCAGATACTAGGATTCAGTAGCATGTCACCACACCCCAGCTAAAGTATTCAGTATTTGGATAGTATAAATGATTAAAAAAACAAAAAAACAAACAAAAAGCCCAAAACAAAACAACAACAACAACAAATAGGAGAATATACAGGTTCCTAATTTGCATTCAATTCTCTAAGCAAGGAATTTTTAAAATTTAAAATAGTACATTTAAGCTGGGCATGGTGGCACATGTCTCTAATCCCAGCATTCAGGTGGCAGAGGCAGGTGGGTTTCTCTGACTTCCAGGCTAGCCTGGCCTACATAGTGTTTCTAGGCCAGCTATGGCTACATCGTGAGATCCTGTCTCAAACAAACCTTACATCTGCAATCACCATCATATTTTTAGGATACCTTAATGTCAAAAGTAGAGCAGACTGTTTGATCAGAATAAAGGCCAGTCTTTTAAACTCAATGTTCTGAAATCCCAGTTGAAAAGCCATATTTTTCTCATTTCTCTGGTAACTGATGGAATCTGCCCTTGAACTTATGCTGTTATGTGGGGTAGAGGCTGGTACCCTAGGGGCCCCAGACATCCAGCTAGGAAGGGACGAGAGGTGGCTTTCTTCACACCTGACTCAGTCTTGCCCTTTAGGAAGACTGCTATGTCTGCTCTCCTGAGGCCACAGCAGTAGAGACTCTCAGAG